CTCCCCTTCCCACACACACTCTGATAAGAGGCAGGGAGTGGTTTCTTATTTCACTCCTGCCTTGGAGCTCGGAGAGCAAAGTTCTCCTTTCACTCCGTGGGACCCTGGAACCATTTCTGAGGGTTTTGTATATTTTATTTTTTGTATTATTCCCCTAATCTTTGTATATATTATTTTCCTTACCTCCCTTTTTCGTTTTCTGTTCTTTGATGAACAATATACTTCATTTTTTTTTTTTTCAAAAGTGTCTCTCGCGCTCTCTCTCGGGGGGGAGAGGCAAGTACATAGTTCTGTTCCGTGTGGGTCCTGCCCTGAACCCCTTTTTACACGGAACCAGAACACCAGGAAACTCCTTCTGACAAGAGTGGTTTCTTACCTAGTGGCCTTGTCCCCCTTAGCGTCCACTTACCTCCCCTCTAGCCACCACTTGTAGGAACTTCCTGAGACTCTCATGCAGCCCAGCCTTTGGATGCTCCAGCAGGAGCACTGCCGTGCCACCAAACAGAGCTGTGGCACTCACTGCAGCCTAGGCAGTCCACTTGCCTAAGGGTAAAAAAAGTAGAAACTGGTCTGGCACCTTCCAAATCAGAGTTCGGGATGTCTCCAGAATATCCCAAAGAATATCCTAAGATCAAAAACTTCTTTCAGGTGGAAACAGGTCGTGTAATATGCTGCAGCCTACCTGTGTTTAACAATTTTAAACCACAGAGGAAAAAAACAAACAAAACATCCAAAACAAACTCCAAGTTTGATTGAGGAAATACTTAGTGGCAATTTAGGAGAAAGAAAAGCAGCTTGATTATTTCAGCAAGTTGCCCAACCAGCCCTGCTACTCTACCAAAGCTGCTGGAGTTGGTGGTGTTGCAGGATCTGTAGCAGTGTGAAAAGAAGCATCAGAGCTGGGTGGAGCAGAAAAAGTGATAGCAAAGAAATAGAACTGGACACCATCACGGTCCTAGTCTGGTGCCCTGATACCTCTGCACCACCTCCTGTCCCTGCTTAGAGCTGGGACAGTGATAGTGGTGCATCTCCTCCCTTTGACAGTGGGGTAGAGGGACTCAGAGCTTCTTCCTCCTGTTCTCAGGCAAAGTGCCAGAGGAGCGCTGTCCATCTGCCAATACCGCTGTACACAAATTCCTGTTTTTAGCTGATCCCCCATCTGTATATGCCAAACTACTTTTGTTACACCCAGGTTGTGATAGACAGGGGACCGTGACCTCGCTGAAGGTCACAAATCTATGCAAAGAGAAAGCAATTTTTATCCTAAACGGAACTGCAAAGATCTGGACTAGGTAGGAAAGCAGGGCTACTAATAAAGCAGTCTTCTGAAGATGTTTATTCCTCCTCATGTAAGCCTCAGCTGATCTCTTCCCCTGTTGGAAAAAGATTGCAAGTTTTAGTTAGAGTAACACCTATGATACCAAGTGACAGAAATAGCTTCCACAGCTGCTTTGTTCAAGAATTTTTCACCATCCCAAGAGAATACTTCTGCAGGATGACAGACACAGTGGGTAACACCACATCTTAAACTGGGCACTTAGAATATGCCACCTCCTCTCTGCAACTGCTGCTCAGGGCTGTTTTACAGCAGCAACCAGGAAATAGAAAGCCAGATGCGTGTTTAAACTCGTGAAAAAAAGATAATCAGTACAGAGACAAATTTCACCAGTATTTTATACTTGACATACATAAAGCATGGTGAGCATTTTTGAATTATTTCAGTCAGTTTGGGCTCCTATCCAGTACTTTAAAAAAACCCAACCCATAGCTAACATGCAGCATGATGTGATAGTCTTTGGCAAGAGACATCCAGGCAGTTAATGTAACTGTCACGTCGGTGTCTTGTAATGGTACAGTTTTAGAGCCTGGCTCACTGCGAGCAACTAGACACCACTCCAAAGGAAGGCCATTTCAGGACTTTGTTGAAGAAGCCCGTGAGCCTGGAGGACTAACAAAGTCAGCAACAGTTGAAACCAGGTTAGCAGAATGGCCTGAAGTCCTTTGTTTTTTTCTCGGCGAACCCAAAGGATCTGTTAATGGATATATCATTTCTGTAAAATGTTTTTGGACTTGAAAGACATTTGTAAGGATAGCTTTTTCACAAAGGAACCGGAATGGGGAGCAACAGGATGAACTTTGGGAAGTTAAGGCATGAACAGTGTGGCAACGTGCTGCTCAGGAAATGCCAGTGTTAAAAGCAGGAAGTGCAACTTTAACATCGACCTGTGAATGGGCGCAGCAGTTTATTACTGCAAATACCTTTTCCTTTCATCAGTATTCAGTGACTAAGCATGGACTTGTACCTCAGCTTTGGCTGTATTTACTGTGGCCTGGATTACCTGGCACGTTTTGAAAGGGTATTTTGCTGTTCCTTGCCTTTATCATTTCAGGAGGTTAGGGAAGGGAACAAAATTATCAGATAACAGATGTCAAAACCAAGGAGATGGAAGCTAAACCCATCAGAGGTTATTGCAGATACACAGCCTGCAGCTTTGGAGGTCTACTAAAAATAAAAACCAAAACTCAACAAACAATACCTTTCCATTCAGATCTGCCTTGAAATTCAGCCTGTAAGTCAACTGCAGACATTTCTTATAGTCTGGATTGTTTCCTGGCTTCCTGCCTTCAAACATTTACATTCCATAAGCACCAAAAGCTGTCCACAAAGTACATACATTTTACAGGTTTGAAGCACATCATTAGTGGCATTGGTTTTCCAAGACCTCAGAAATCACTTTCACATGTTTTAGCCTATGTACGTATAATAGGATTTCCTTCCCAAGTCTCTTTACTCTTGTCACTTTTGTATGCAAAATACTTCAGAATAACCTTCAGAATAAAAAGCCCAGTTCAACTACAGATGTGAAACAGAAACTTTGTTGTCTGCCCATCTCTCCTTTACTATTTTTTTTCCCCTCTTGGTTGCTCTTTGCTCTACTTCAGGACCAAAAGTCCAGCTGCTATAAATCTAAACACTGCCCAGGACAGAGTGCAACAAACAGCAAAATGAGTTCCAGTGAACACTGGTGAGCTCTAACCTTCCTAGGTATCCACATGGGTGTTCAGCCAAGCATTTCCATACTTTTCTATGATACAAGAGCAGTCATTTCACAATTAAATCTTTGGGCTAGAATCTACAGAATCAAGCAAAACCACTCAAAACAATCACAGACACTACCGCAGGTTGAAGAATAACAATGCATTTAGTCCAGTGAGCAGTATTGGCTCAACAGATAGGAAGGAGAAGGTCTTTCTACAGACTTCCATAGCAGAAAGCATCAGCAATACAACCATCTTCCATACTTTTTTCTGCAATGCCTGATCCTGGTCTGGGACTGTTGAGCTGTGTCACACTTTTGATATACAGCAGTCAGAAGACTAGCAGTGCCACTCAACTCCAGGCATACAGAGGGTTTCTGGTACTCCCAGAGCTGAGCTGCAGTATGCACTATCGCTAATCTCAGGAAGGTCAAACCCTTTTCTGATTAAAGGTTGTGGTCATTTATCAATGTGTAAGTAGACAAAAAAAAAAAAGGCAATTGTGAGCTGTCATCTAAACTTAAGAGTGTTTGAATGTTCTCAAGAGAATTCTCCCATGAAAGGCGAGAAGGGCTGAGGGAAGCTGAAGGGAATTACCATTTAATACAGCCAGTCTGTCTAGAGGACATTAGAATTGTGCTATTTGCTCGAAAGAGGCATTTCTGAACATCAAAGCACAAAGTAAAAGCAATGCAGTGCTACAGAATGAGGCTTTCTGGTGCACAATGTCAACCTCAGGGGCTACCTCAGTCCTGCATGTGCATTTCAGCTGACCATTGAAGCTGTGTCAGTACCGTACTCTGTGACCTGGCAGGTCAGCTCTGTGGAAAGCAAGTAAGGGGATATCAAAGCAGTGCTCACGGAGCGAGCAAGGCCACCAGATTCAGCCTCCAACTGCCAAACAGCCTCTGTTGGGAGCAGTGTAGAAGCAAGCTCCTGCCCTCTCCTTCCCATTCAAGTCAGAACAAGTTTCCCAGAAAGGGACCAAACCATTTTTTTTTTTTTAAACTAAATGCTTTTAATAGAAAACAAAATACAAAATAACTCTTTCCAGAAAGCAGAAATATTTAATCTCTCCAAATGACAAACTAGAACGTGCTTTATCCGCAGATCCTTGTTGTAAATGCTGATGATTTATCTCACAAAGTGTTCATGAAACTGATATTGCAACATTTTGATAAAAATTCAACGCTGGCAGAGCTGCCTCTGTGTATGCACAATAATTTAGTAATACTATTTTTTCCAATGTCACTTCTTGTATGTCTCTCTCTCTCTCTCTCTCTCTCCTCGTCCCCCTCTCCATTGACTGCCAACTTCCATTTACGGAAATATTTCTGTGAGGTGCAGTGGTAGATTGACATGCCCCGTTTCCATCTGGAGTCCAAACTTAGCCGCCTCACTTCTATTGTGCTCTCCCTCCAGACAAGACAAGTCTTTATTACCCTTAAAGCTACCACGCTACCCCACTGTCCTCCTATCCTCAAAACACAGTGCAACCAAATTCAGAAAGATTCCTAATTAATGGAACATAAATACAAATATCACAGCTAGTACCAGGAACCAAACCCATATAACAATGCAGAGATGGGCCTCTACTGAGGTCAGACTTCCATCCTCTTACTAAAAAGAAAAACTGTATTTTCTACTTAGCCAGTCCAAAATATTCCAGAAATGCTATAGGAAGCTGTAATACTTAGGACCACTATCACTGTAGAAAATATAAAATGTTCCTTTAATAGAAAGGTCTTAAAATGCTGGTCCTCTGCAATACCAGGAAAACAAAAGCAAAACACACTGGGCCAGTAGTTCTCCACACACTCAAACCTCAGCTAACAGCAGGTAAGATGTGCCAATCAATCGATGCAGGATATTTAAGTGCAGGTCAGCAGCTTATCTGGTTGGCAGTTTCACTGGTCTGGACCAGGCCTTCTATTTCCTTAGGCTAGTGGATTTACTCCCCTTTTCCTCATCCTCACAAGTACAAGATGTACACGAATTTTCATCACTCCTCCTTTTCTCCTTATTCAACAGCACAGGCCTTTCTGCGGCAAGACGTTTTAAAAGCATTTGCATCACACTGAACATGCCTTTCAAGGGGGCAGAGGCAGAGAAGCGTTTCACAGTCAGTAATCTCAGCTTGTAATGGACTCTGGCATTCAAGACACCCACCCACTTCCCTCAGAAAAAAAAAAACAAAACAACAGTTAATGTTCCTGATTCTCTTGTGCAATTCCAGTCACTAGAAGAAGATTACAGGCCATGAACTGTACGCTCAGTACGTTATTCATCTGCCCGGTATAGACACCGACCAGTTCACTGGAAGACCCGTCTGCGGGGGCGTTGCAGTAAGTGTTCCGAATGTCCCAGACCCGGACCGAGTTGTCCATCGACGCAGAAGCAATTAAACTACTGTCGGGGCTGAAAGTAAGGCTGGTTATGTTGTCCGTGTGCCCCCTCAGCTCTTTGTAAAGAGTTCCTGACGCCAAGTCCCACAGCTTCAGCCGCTGGTCCTCGCCGGCCGACGCCAGGTACTTACCGTTGGGAGAAAAGGCCAGCGCTAGCACGGGGCCGCGGTGCCCGGTGAAGAGACGCACCGAGTTGCCTTGCTGAGTGCTCCACAAGCGCACGGTCTTGTCTGTGGAGCCCGTGGCCACGTAGTTGGAATTGGGGTGGAACTTGACGCAGTCGACGTCCGCCAAGTGGCCCGCGTATATTCGCAGCGGGTACGTCCGGTCGAACGACCAGAGCCTCGCGGTGCGATCGTGGGAGCCGCTGGCGAAGTACAGGCTGCAGGGGCTGATGTCCAGATCCCAGACGGGATAGGCGTGCCCTTGGTACAGCACAGTGTTTGTAAAGCTTCCAAGGTCCCAGTACCTGATGGACATGTCTTCAGAGCAAGACAAGAGTCCCGAGCTGTCCGAGAGGAACCTTGTGCTATACACAGGTCCGCAGTGTCCTCTCAGGATCTTCATTTCTGTGCCTGCGCTGTCGTCCTCTTCTTCCTGCTTGGGGAGGAGAAAAAGGAACAGGAAAGGAAAGCATGTTTATCTCTTAACAAATACAGGAACCACCATGAGGAAAACAGGCGGGTGTTAACACAGAAGAAGTTAGTTCAGATGGGGCACATTTTGTGCAACTCTGAGACACAAACACTGCTAGCGCATTTGCTACATCTAAAGAGATGGCAAGGTAAGGCTTTATATAAAGGTTTTATCTTCGTTCTGGGTAGCCTCATGCTCACTCCAGAAAGCACCTTAGCCTGGGACTGTATGCAAATAGGGGAAAAAAGAAATATTTTATGACATTTTCCCATTTTCTAAAAACACACGCTTATTCACTGTCTGCATTCTACTAAACTTTTGGCTAGGATGTTGAAACAGATCTTGACATCTGCTTTTTTGGTGTGGTCATTATTGGAAGTGAATCTCTCAGCAGAACACTTTTAAGATGCAGAAGGCAGGAGATGGAAAGATGAAGCACATTTGGTAAGCTGTCTGCTGGACATTCCTTCTCAGCCTCACATGTGAACAGAAAACCAATGAGGCCCTAATATATATTTTTTTTCTATGCAAGCTCTATTAGGATGCTTTCAAATCCTCACCCTTCAAGAACAGCAAATGTATGCAACTTATTTAGGTCAAAGGATCTATTTTGGGGTAGGAAAAAAACTGAATAATCAGAAAAAGGATGGCACTGGAAACCTTTTTATCCCGTAATTCTCCAATTCAGATACCAGGGCAGACAGTCAACAAGTAAAGGCTTTCATGTTTAAAGACTGTTCAGTAAGCTGTGCTAAAGGAATCTCCCAGTGGAGGCTGAGAAGCACCTCTGAACACTCAAAGGCTACAGACTGCACAAGTTTCAACAAGTCTCATCTCAAGAGAGTGTTCTTGCCTGAGAAGCTGGGGTCTCACTGGCAGAGAGCAAGATAACCATGGCTTGGGGTGCACTTGTCTAGTAGCTTGAGACCACCTTCCCTCAGAGCTGTCAGGCAGACACTTCTCCTCAGTACTGAATCAGTAACACTCACACACGGTCCATCTCTGCACATCAAATTCAACACGATGTCCTTTTGTTTGTGAGCAGCCCCTTTAACTTTTATCACTGCAAAGTGGCCTGTTTCCTGCAGAAGGAGCACTTCCTGACCCAAGAGGAAACCCAGCTCCCCAAGGCTGTCCGAAACCAGCAGGAAGTCAATACGACCTGAGTGGCTCTCTTGGCTGACACATCTCCCATCCCTCTGACCTCGAGACCCACAGACAGTTTTGCTTCAGACAGCAATAGCCCTGGAAGCCCTTCTCCCCAAGAGGAGAGCAGGCTCTGGCTAAGCTACCTCACTGCCTTTCTCCATCTGAACTGCATGCTTAGCAGTAGGCAGCCAGGCACATTTTGCAATGCTAATTCTCTCCAGAGCAGCCAGTGCCTATGGGAGTTTTATAAGGTGGCTGGGAGCCAACTACATCTCTGCTATGGAGGTGAGGCAGAGAGAAACTGCAGGCTCCAGCACGCAAAACCCCATTCTTATTCAAATTGCTTTTCCTACCTCAGATAGAGCACTGCTCGCTGGAATCCACAGCGTCTCCAGGCTGTGCTACCACATTAAAGGAGAGCAGCTGATACCTGCAGCATTTTATACTATTTAATTATCACCATAAGATTCCTGATGAGTTACCAGTGGAAGCCCATTCAAGTTACCAATATTGTACTACAGTTTCTGTAAATTATGCAAGTCCAGGTACTTAATTTTATGCCTTCAGATTCCTACAGGGCTACTTGGGCTGTCTGCAAGCACATACTCTCTCACAAGCACCTACTCTTTGTGTATTACAGTAGCAGCTTTTTTGACAATGCCTTCTGCAGCACTCAAAACCACACTGTGATATGGTCACAGGTAGCAAATATTATCTTTGACTTCTGTTTGACACCCACTTAGCATAACAACTGCACACTGCTGTTACAGCTCACCAAAAATGGTATACCTACAATGCTTCTGAGTCACTAGATTTTTTCGTTTCCTCCCTATCCAAGATAGTCTGCTGCCCAGGTCAACAAAGCAGCTGGAAGTGCAGCCACAAAACTACTGCCTTGCAGAACCAAGCTTCATTTTTTTTTGCCAGATCAAGCACACTCTGCCTTGCTTCCCAAAGCTACTACCATGTAGGCGAGCAGCAGCGGCTACAGAAGGGAACTGGTATGATAAATCAGCAGGGAGGCAGGGAATCCCTCTTCAGAATACTTTTTCAGGAGTCTGATTTCATACACTGAATACGCTTCCTGGATATAATGTAACACTGGGCACTACCCAGAAATCCATTAGCTCCTTCTGAAGTGGTAAGCATGAACAACTTGCATTTCCCTGGGCCGGACAAGAAACTGAGTTATATAAGCCTATTTTAATCAATAATCTACACAAGCATTAAAAACTACCTTTTATTTCAATATCCATTTTGAAAAGCACTACCAAAACAGATTCTAAATAATTGGATAGAACTGGAAAATCTACAAACACTACTAAGATGATCTAAAAAACCAAATTTACTCTTCAACAGTGAACAGGAAATCTTCCCGAGCAAGTACCAGAGTCCCAAAAATTAAATGATTATGAAACTGAAAAGAAGAAAAATGTTGGTATGTTTTGTTATACAGGACACCTTCCAAATGATACACCTATGGACAAGACTGACGAACTCTTCAGCTGTTACTTACATCAGTAACACATTTTGCATGACAGTCATTTGGACTCAGAAAAATATTTACTGGTGATGCATGTAACCTTGTGAGGAGGAAACATTATCTGGCTGACAGAAATTATCTTGATCTTCCACCCAGCATAAGCCTCAAGGTAATGAGCGAGCCTCAAAAAGCAACAACGATAACCTCAAAAAAATGAAACAAATCTCATGTCTCTCTCTCTTATTTTTTTCTGACTAATAACAGCTTTCCCTGGGCGTTGTCAACTCTCTGATCCTGCAGTGTGCTCTTGAGATGTCAAGAGGGAAGATCTCTTACCTAGGCTCTCCTAGCAGGGAAAAAGATGAGGGAGCGAGTATGACAGCTCTATCTGCAGGACATTTCTTACTGCTCTTTCCAGAATTCCCTCCCATCAGCATCATCCCTGCTCATTCCCACTTGAAGGACAACTGCTGCTCAAAAGCAGAATCTTAGAAGCAGAGCTGAATGGCATCAGGTCTTTGTCTTTACAGAATTTAAAGGCTGCCACTCTAGCAGTGTGGAACAGAGTATTATTTTCCATTGTTGATTTATGTAGTCCCAGCAACAAATATGGAAAAATTGCAGAGACAAAAACAATACATCCATTTGCACAGATGCAAAATTGCATTTTTATGCTGGACGTTAAGTAAGAGAGACTATAAAGTGGCATTTGTGAGATGCTACTACACAAAATCACAATTACTTTAATCCCAAAATAGTAAGCCTCTCCTATTTCCAAGAAGCCACACAACACGGCTGAAGTGCACTGGGGCATGACACTGAGAAAAATTCACTAAAACTGCACCTAGAAGATGGCTTCAACTTAAGTGACAGAAAGGCTTTACATGCACTAGGAAAAAACATCGTTCTCTAACCCTTTTTAGCAAGTCTTTTACATGGATACAAGCTGGAGCACAGGAAGTTCCACCTCAATGTGAGGAAGAACTTCTTTACTGTAAGGGTTCCAGAGCACTGGAACAGGCTCCCCAGGGAGGTTGTGGAGTCTCCTTCCCTGGATGGATGTGTTCCTGTGTGACCTGTCCTAGACTAGATGGTCCTGTTCTGACAGGGGGGTTGGACTCAAACTCCAGAGATCACTTCCAACCCCTAACATCCTGTGATTCTCAACTTCATTTTTATCTCTTGCTTTTACAAAAAGAGTTAATAAACCCAAGAGTGTAGTTTCAGTGCCACCTGAAACAAGGTCCACTCATAGAATTATTGGATAGTTTTAGACTTCTGTATCTTCATAAACAGAAGGACCTATTGGCTTGCAGCAAATCAGAAACCAAGCTGAAGATCAATTATTTCAGGCATTATTATTTAAATACAGTACCCAAAGCTAATTACACAACACAGAAATCAACCAAAACAAAGACAATTAAGAAAAGTCACAAAACTCAGCCAAGTTTAACATCCTCCTAAGTTATCCTAAACTCACTGAAGTAAGGTGTAAAGCACATTGAGTTCACAGCCAGCTGAGTTACCGATGTCCGCACCCCGGGGAGGAGGCTCTTGTTTGGTCTGTCTCCCTAGCTGTGACTTCCACTCCTGTGGCACCCAAGCAGGTGCCAGTCTGTTCCCATATGTGACCTCCCAGGTGCCTCTGTGTTTTTATTTTGGGCTTCCAGAAACTGGAATTTCTTTCCTGTGTAGTCAATAGGCTTTCAGTTGCATTTGGGACACATAACCAGTGGTGCGTTTAGGCTGGCATCTTCTCTTAACTTTCTTAACTCTGAACTACTGATCAGGTCACTATTCATTTTGTCAGTGGTGGAAGTTATTCAGGACAATGACAACTTGTATGATCTCTGCTGGTCTTTGAACAGTTTTTGGGTTTCCACTTGTGCACCAGTACTGCAGCATACACAAAATATTAAATAGCCAAGAAGAGCCATTTGTACTCCAGCTTCTATGGCAGTTTCATAATTCACGTATGATATGCATGTGCCCACATGCCCAAAAAAAAAAAAGCTAATACACACTGCTGACAACCTGGCAAAATCTCACTTTTTTATAGCCTGGAGCCAAAGGAGGCGACCTGTTGATTTACCAGAGAAACTCTCCTCTGTTACACGTTACTGACATTTGGTTTCCATGACAGACAATACACAGTCACGTGGCCTATGAACTCCTGTAGCTTAGAACAAAACCAAGTCCATAGCTCCATCGTGGGCTCGTCTTTACCCACCCACCTGCTCGCTCTGCAGGATGGGTTAACCTGGGAAGCAGTGAGTGTGCCACTGTGCTATCTCACCTGGATTACTGCCTCTGCTGCTCCAGCTGACTAACAAAGCAAGGCCCAACCATAGATCTCTGCGCACAGCAAGCACACTTCCAAAATAAACAAAACCTTGCCACTAGGTATTTTTTGAGAAGAAAAAACAGTGAAAAAAAGCACGTTTCACCTCCTAAGTACCCAACACAAGAACAAACCAGTTTTGGGCTTTTTTTCCTTCAAGAGGGGAGTGATTATGCAAAGGAAGAGTCACAAATTCTGATCTCTAACCAGATATAAGGTGCTACGTGGGCAGCTGTGGCGCAGGGGAGGAAGGGCGTGACTAAAAGGAAAAAAAAAAAAAATAAGAAGAGTAAACTAGAAGATGCCATCTAGCCTTGCATGTGAAGGCACACACATCATCGTCCTTGCCTCCAGCACTCCAGAGTGGGAGCCTCTGAAGCTTCTACACTGCAGATTCCTCAACAGAGACATTCTGCACGATTTTTTCCATGCTAACTCCTCACGTCTGGTTAAGGTGACTCCTGAAATACAATTTTGCATTTGGACATCTTTCCTCCTTCCTGAGGCCTCAAATCAGCTTCCTTTCCCTCTTTCCATACTTTGTCTCTATTTTTATCTTCCTGCAACTCTCCCCTTCTCTCCACCATTCTGGCTGGTTGTTCTGACCTCTTTCATCCTAGTTTTCATTCACCAGTGTGTTTTTACTGCCTGCACCCCCTTGTTTCATCTTCCCATCCGTAAGAAGGCTTTATTCTCACCAGAGAAGGAGAGGTAAGAACCTGTTCTTACTGCGCTGCCTGCACACCGTCAGCTGTTTGAGGACAGGTGGAGGAGGGAGGACTAACGCCTAGGACTAACAATGACCCAAGCACAAACTCGCTGCACCTCAGTGCAGCACTGACAGCCACTGCAGGGCAGAGTAATGATGAGAGCAGGCTAGACGATTTGTGCATCAAGGCAGATGGGTTGTGGAACAGGCTCACAGTCCACTCTAACTCCACTAGATTCTCCACAACACATGCCCAAAATGCCTCGTCAGAAAGGGTAGGGGGAAACAAAAAAAACCACGAGTATCCAGACCTCCTCATCCAGGATGTCACAAGCCAGACGGATGCGGGACACGTCAACGAGGTGGGGCTCAGATTTTAACTTCTTGGAACGCAGGCTCCACAGCTTCACACAGGAATTATCGAACCCAGCAGCGAGCAGCTTGCTATTTGGTGAAATCTCTGCAGTGTTCAGCAACTGCTCCGTGTTGTAGAAGGCATAGAAACAGATGGTCGTTAAGGAGGGGGGCCCATCCTTGACACGTTTGATGCTGTCCTGCAGTAAATCCAGCGCCGCCTCGTTCTGCAGGATGGAAGCTGGCACCTCGCTGGGTTCCAGCCCGTTGCTCTCATTGCGTGAGGAGCTCCCACCGGCGTAGAGCTGGTAGTCAGTCCTCTTGGCAGGCTGCACATCCAGGTGAATGTGCAAGGTCAGGACTTTGCACAGGGCGTTGTTGTTGTCACTTTGGAGGTAGCGAAGAAGGTAGTTGTAGCTGTCCTCTTGAAGGCGGACGACGTATTTGTTGTCCAGAAAAGCCCGGAGCTTCAAGTTGGACAGGATATCTTGAATAGTCATGGTAGTTTGCAACTGCTCAATGATATCCTTCTGGCTGGCATTCTGCAAGAACATGCCATGGAAGCGGCTGTAAAAACTGTCCACTGTGCTTTTTAGGCCATTCTGGACCATGTTCAGATGGAGGTAGACGAAGAGGGGATACAGAAGAGGCATCACTTCATGGCTGTGCTGAGAATCTGAATCTATATAAAAAACAGCAACAAACTTTGAATAATTTCTGAATCCAATTTCTACTGGAAAGAAAACAGAGCAAGGGCAATTACTACAAAAAGCTTTGACAGGGGCATCAGAGAGCAAGCAAGAGGAGACTTTTGTTGGTGCATCCCAGTGAACCTCTTCTGTCACCTGAAGGGGTTACACAGTACCTACTACAGATCGGCACAGAGATCTGCAAGTCAGTGAGGGACCCTGTCAGAACAAACTGCTGAGATTTCAAAACCTTTTCTAGGTGTGGGCCAGCTGTTAAAATACCACCTCATAAAATACATGATAGTTGAATTTTTCCCTATTTTATTTAAGAAGAAAAACTATGCCTTATTTATTGCTTTAAATTTTACTCATTATATTTAAAATAGTATTTAGCATATTTAAGTCAAAATTATTTACCTAGCTTGCATGGGCCTGAACTTTGGCACCTTTTTTTTTTTTTCTTTCCTCTTTGATAGAACTTGCATGTGGTGTTTTGGATGGAACTGATGTGTCTCCAGGGGAAAGGAAGCTACAGGTTTCCAAAAGGCACTGCAATACGCTGCACTCTTGTTCTATTTCTGTGCCTGCTCATGTGCACGCTTTCTGTCTCTCTGCCAAGGCAAATCCCAGCAGTAATTCCTAGTACATGGTGTAACAAACTCCCAAACTCCCGATTAGGCTGTGCTGTACCTTGCAGAGACTAATCTGTGCAACAGCTCCACCCTTCCTTTACCAGCTCCTGGGGGCTGTCTCCTTCCCCAGTTCAGCCTGCTGCAGGGAGCTGTCGGGAGCAGAGCCCTGCTGCAGAACACCGTGGCAACACACAGGGCCAAAACAATGAGTACAGAGGGACCAAATGGTCCAAATTACTGGAACAAAACAGGCACTGCTGATCCTCAAATAGCATTGCTGGCCTTCAAACGGCATTGCTTCTTTTCAACAGCTTCTTCCCTCCTGCCACTCGTCAATACACATTCTTTCCCCTTCACCTTCCCACTAGGTTATTTTCCATCTCCTGTTGAGCACTCTTCCAGATGTTCTCTGGTCCATACTGTACTTCTCTCCCATTTCTATATGAGTAACTGCAGAGTTTAACTGCAGTGGTTTGCAGCATATATACACATATTTACATACTTAGGTATCGTTCTCCTTTCTGTCTCACCGAAACTGGGCCAAAGCCAGTGAAACCAGTGGTCAGTATGTAGTAAAAGCTCTAAGCAGCCACCCAGTGCTCATTTCTCTGCAGGTGCTCTAGTCCAGAAATGCAGCAAGGGGAAGGAGATGGAGAAGCTGGCAGAAGCAGGAACAAAGAAAATATTCTCCAGGAACACATAAAGGAGCTGTTACAGTCTGTATAGCCTGGGGAAGAATAAGGGGTATCCAACTGATGCCTTCAGTACCTGATGGGCCATTATGGAAGAAGCGAAGCGAGACTCTTCTCAGGGGTGCTCAGTGAAAGGACAACAGGCAAGCTGCTGCAAGGGAAACTCTTACCAAATTGCTCAACCCTGCAGCTGGGGTGCAGAAGTGCAGAGAAATCTCCACACTTTTTGATTTTCAACACCTGGCGGGACAAGGCCCTGTGCAACCTGATCAAACTCTGATCCTGCCCTGCTTTGAGCTGCTAGTTGAACTAGAGACCTCTAGAGTAATTCCTAAATTATTCAGAGGGCCTAGTCTTCCACCCACTCCTCAGTGCTCCTGGGGGAAGGAATCACAGAAATGGGATGTGTCCTGCTATGCTTTGTGGCTGGCTGGCAAGTTATTCCCTTGCAGGAATAGCTGCAGTTCATGTGTGTAAGAAATCAAAACTAAGCAAGAGGGACAAAAAAGATGAAAACAGTCACCCTGAACACCAAAACCATGCCAAGCACTTCCCCAAGAGATAATTAAGGCACTTAAAGCACCACACTTCTCAAAAACCTAGTCCATAAAGATTTACCCCCAATACTAAAGTATAGTGGTGTTGAACTACTCTAGGTGGCAAAGCTAAGGCTGCACTGTTTTCTGCCTCTGCCTTCCTGCCCGCCTCCTTTCCCTTCCCTTCAACAACTATCAGGAATATTAAACCCACTGTTATGCTTACTGGGATCAAATTCCTCCTATCTGCTTTCTTCTTCCCACATTTGGGACTCATAGAAGAAATAAGGAAAATATCAGGAATAACTTATTTAATTATCAAAACAATACTTTTAAAAAGAAAAATAATTTTTGCCTTCTGCATCACACTACAGAATACGAATTTTTTCACATCCCATCATAGAACTCCAGTCTTGAAATCAGTACGGATAAATTTAAGGGAACAAACCCTAATCTAGACCATCACAAAGATAAGCCAGTTATGAATAAAATTTTAAAAAAACTAAGCTAGGAAACAGCAGAGCACTGCACATCTTTCTAAGCTGCCTGCCTGTCACATAGAACACTAATCTTCCTTCTTGTCCTGTGTATGTACGCTGTTGTCTAGAAGATTCACAATGGCCAAATGCTTGAACAGTCAGCTATCTACAAAAGCCAAAGGTATTCAGCATTCAAACAACAACAAAAAAAAGGAAAAAATATTTCTAATTGTAGTAATGGAAATCTCAAAACTAGAAATCAAAAGATTCTCAGAGACGTGATATTAAGTTGTATTATATTGTCCTTTACTCACTGAAGTGACAGAAAAACATCCAGATACTCTCCTCTCCCTTGCTTCCTGATATTTACCTGTGAGAAAATTGCGTAATCGTCCAAACTGTACTTCATATTGCTGTGGCTCCGCCAGGCAGGGAGCTGCAGACACAACGCTGGCACAACCAGATTCAGACTGGACTGTGAAACAGAATAGAGTAGAAATTAAACAGAGATTTAAGCAGTTTTGCACGTGTGTCTGGAAACAAAGCTTCTTATAAAACCCAAGGTAATGCAGCCACCAGGATGATGTTTCGTCTTTCAAACAGCCCAGGGATGACAGTCTGAAGCATCTAATCATGGCATTCACTAACAACCCAGGCAGATCACCAATGAGAAAGTACAGCTTAAAATAAAACACCTAAAAAATCTCAGCAGCTCGCCTGCTTCCCCCAGAATACAATTTTAAGTTTTAAAATACAACCTTAAATTCCCAAGAAATTCAGAGTAACATTGTCACAGATCCCCCAACAGTTTTACAGGATACTCACTGATTTTACTACCTTGGACTCAGAAAAGATGAGGAATATAGTCTACAAGTTCCTCCAAAACAAAGTTTCTTTTTCAGTGGGACCCACCAACCATGGTAGACAGAAGGTTTGCAGTAATACTACCTCAGAGGCTCAAATTCCTTGTTCCAGACATCATCAGTTGCAACAAATGATAATCATTATAACTTATTAGTCTCCTGGATGTGATGCTGAAAACACCCCAAATCTCTAAGCAAACACTTAGTTTTTAATCAGAACATGTCCTCTTCTCTGAGCATTTTAGGTTAAGGGGCAGTTGGTATCTGACCATAAACTCAGTTGTTAATGTCTCCCAAAATGGTGATAAACTGATTTTTCAGAATGAGCACCAATTCTGGCAAAAGTTGTTCTGAACTACATAGAAGAGGAATTGACTTCTTCTCAGGCACCAAACCTTTGCTCTAAAACCTTATATAACTCCTCAGAATCCAATGGGGGACTTTGTGCAAGTTTACAGACATCAACCAACATACCCTAAGCATATACCAGTGATCAGAAACACAAGTTACAAAACTGCAACTAATACGTTTGTCGTCTCTTTTAAGAAGAGTATGGAAGGGCGAGGAGTTTCACTGTTTTCCTTTCCTAATTCTTATTCAATTCATAACTGTTTTCCCCCTCAAAAAAACTATTTTCATTACTCTCAGCTCCAAGTTCTTTCAGCCTCCCCTGCCCCCACCTTTCCATCTCTCTTTGCCTTCCCGCTACTGACCATCGCTTTTTGTTCCAGCATTTGGCTCATGCACAGAGGCACAACTCTGAAAGCCCTGGAAGTCTATAAACAACATCATCAAACGTCCACATGCAAAGAGAGATAGGCCAGCCTCCAGCTCATCTCAATGCTTCTAATTAGAGAGATCAGCACACAGTATACCGGCAGCTTGTCGCTAATCTTCCTTCCCTCTCCCTCTGCTAAGACACAGGTCTATCTTCTTCTAGAGCTTATGGAAATGCAGGAGCTATGTTTACCAGCTCTCCAGGGCAAGCCCAATCCAGCTTCAGAAATGGAGAGCTGGACTATGCTCATCATGCCCTCACAGGAAAAAACAAACAGATTCCAGCACAAATACCCTGTCTTCTCTCAAACGAGATCAGAAATTAACACATCTAACCTGTTGAGCACTACAGATACACTGTGCTTTCTACAGCCTGGCTGCTTCAGAAACTAAAGCTGGTAAGAATTCCAGGCTCAGTAACTGGTTTTACTTAACAGCTACAATAAAAAACTCTGCTATTCAGAGTTAAAGTTTAATATAAACAATATTTAGCATGAGAAAGTAAAACCGCATGCATGCACATGTATTAACTAAAAAACGCTTAGTGACTGTTTTCAGTGTCACCCACACTATTCATTGTAAAAGCAAAATAAAACAGACACACAAGGGCTTGTCTTTTACGCTGTGTCACAGGGTTACACACAAGGGTCAACTCTTCACAGCATTCCAGTGGTTTCATGGAATGGCTTGCCATCTTGCTCACGCCATGCAAGCACAACTTACTGTCCTTGCCTTTACAAAGTGCTCCCTCCATGCCACCTATTCAACTTTCTCTGCATAAACAACTTAATTCAAAATTAAGATGTAGTTCATGCTTCAGAAAGAGGAACATGGTTTTGTGTATTGGCTACAAGTGGCATTGCCTCCAGCTAACAAATGCAGGGCTACTCTAAATGCTGTTTAACAGCAGCTGATTCCTCTTTCACATGAGTGCGAGGACAGGGCATTTCAGACAGTCCTATGTGTTGATAGTATACAATGGGCAATATTAAAGGAATCTGTCCCTTAGTCAGTTCTTTTGTCTTCAAATATACTTTTAGTTTTCTACAGAAACAGGAGATCGTCACTAGGAAGCTCTGGGCTGTACTTTACTGCAGATGCCATCGGAAAGGGTGCTAGATTATCTCATCTGGGCTCCCTTTCCCATGAAAGGTTGGACCAGATGATCTTTTGAGGTCCCCTTCCAAACTGACCTGCTCTACAATTCTAACAAAGCAGAGCTGTACAAACATAGCAAGTATATGAAGCAATGGAGAAAGGCTGAACTCAAGAGACTCTGGAAGAAGATAAAAAAATGCTGAGGTAAAACTGAGAAACAAAACTACATAAAACCAAAAGCAGAGGACACTTTTCACTCTTAAAGAAAAAAATCACAGAATTTAAGACAGAAATAACCAACTCTCCCATTTATACAGGCTGGTTAATTTCCAAGTCAAACAAAAGAAAAGAGATGAATAGAAAAAGCAAGGTGAGTTTTGCTAAAGAATGAGCAAAATCTTGAGAAAACAAATTTGACTGTCTTCCCCAAAATAAAGTCATGCAGGCTTTAGAATCTGGTCATTTTTTACTCAGTTTGCAAAACTAAGATGACTGCAGCAGAAAGTACATTCAGCCTCTGCTGTCACAGTAAGTACAAGCTGGGATTTTCCTTTTCCAACAGTCATTCATGGAACTGCAGCATACTCACCGACAGCTTACTACAAGCATGTTTGACAAGAAGCAGTAAGCAGCTGAATACAGGAGAGCAGACCATTTTCAGTTCAAATTAGAACTGATGAGTAAGTTCTGAATCACCATCCATAAAACCCTTGCACTTGCAAAAGGATACAGACTAATAACAAGAAATTTAGTAATACTATTTGGTGCAGGTTATTAAAAAGACAAAACCCAATCACACACTAATTCATACTCTTTATTGAAATATTTTTTTTTTCTGCACCATGCTATATGTGAATGCAAGAGTTTGTAATTCAATTTGTCTCTCCTACTTCAGATAGACACTCTTGTGTCCTCCTGGTATGGTTGGTCCCAAGTTCTAACCCCATTTCAAGACTGACCTTTCTACCCAACTCTGCTGTAATAACTCCCATCAAAAACAATTCAGCACTTTACTTTGGTTTCATTCCTTCCCCATCTCCCCCAGTATTATTTTAGTTACAATAAACTTCCAAGAGCTACTCTGAAAACAGCAAGGAAATTAAGAGTACTGAGAAGATGTAAGTCACTTCTATTAACAAAATAATACCCTATTTTCCTTCAAGTCCCTGAGAGCGTCAGCCTGGACATTTACCCACAAGTCACTCACCTCTGGATTGTAACTATGGCAAAATGCTCTAGAGGTGAAAAGAGCTGTTCTGGCATCTAAGCTTATCTAGCTACATGCACAGACTTACACAGTATTGTCAAATCAAGTTGTATCACAAGTAACTCAGTTCACCAACTTCAGCCTGTGAAACCACCACAATCTAAGCACAGTTTTGTTAACGGAAAACACTTCCTCCTTGAATTCTCGCCCAAAGGTCATCCCAGTATTCTTTATTACTTTTACAAGTAAATTCAGTATTTATAACCTCCATATTGCTTGCATCCTTTCAGTATTTGTATGTGCTCAAGCACTAGTGGAGTTTGTTATGACATAATTATAATCACAGACATGATTTAAGAAGTAGTGGAGCAGGATTTGAAAGACTTTAAGAAAGAGCAGAAAGGACACATGGGGAAATAAACTGTCACATCCACTGAAGGACTAGTTGGTGTTTTTCTCTTTTTTCCCTCCCCCCTGCCCTCTGTGACAGAGCAGGGATTTCACGATTAGAAAGCTGTCTAAGGCTGAGAAAGAAACAGCCTCTATCACATTAATTTCACATGATACAGCTCTCCTGGAGTACAACGGTAGAACAGAGTTTCCTGCTTCTACTTAATTCCTCATCTAGGTTCTTCTCAACTCCATCCCAAAGCACCACTACTCATATGCTTTGGGATTCAACACATGCATTTCCCACTACCCTGACCTGGTATGTCAGCCTGCTGTTTCACTGACCACGAGCCTCTCACCCCTGTTACACTTTCATCCTTCAGAAGTTCATACTCATGCCAACTTCACTCTGGGAAATGTCCTTATTTCAAATGGAGACCTGCCCATAAGTGCACACAAATACACATAGCTACCAATATATAATACTTACACTTGTCACAACTCTGCCAAAAAGCACGTATGGAAAACGTGATAGGATTACCTGTGAGATTAGCTGCCATCTCTTCAGCAGTCTGACACAGCCTCAGCCCTTGTTTTAGGGGACCTTCTGAGTCCACGTACTGACGGCGCTTGAGGTAGCAGGACACTGCCATCTGAATCTGCTCTGTGCGTACGCGTTTCATGACCTCAAAAGAAAAGAAAGAGATGAGGCTCTTACTGTGCAGGTACAATCTGCAGCCACCACGGCTGTGCTAAAACTGATAGTAAACAAAGGGCTCAGTATTTTCACTGCTGAAGTCAAACAACTTCACTGCTGAAGTAGGAAACAAAACCTTTAGGCATTTGCCTCCCAGTAATAATGCATAACTAGGCACTGTGAATCAGATCCCTACAGATATTTTATTGTCTAATTCTACTGATTTCACTGAGGAATCAAAAGTACTTTGAGGATTCTGGCTACAACTGCAGTGGTGAATGGAAAGATTTGTTTTTCTTAGAAGTAACTCATGAAGACGGAACATTTCTCCACCTTGCTTTCTTACAGTAGCAGTTTGGGCATTCTTCAGTCAAGTTCTGATACCTCTGGTTGTTCAACCAACAAAAGAATTCCAGAAGAGTCAACGGAATGAGAAATTTCAGAACTGTAATGCTTTAAATAGTACACCCGCCTGGGGAGCCCAAGAAGCAACAGCTTATCACCTGAACTTAAAGGTTAGAGCCAGACTTTTGGCACCCCAGTCAGGTAAGTCCCCAGAAAACAAACAAACAAGGACAATAAAACAAAAGCAGAGCTTTTTGCCTTTTTCACCTGTCCCCATCTTTCTAGATTTCCCTCCTACAAAAGTTAAAGCAAAAAAAAGTATCCTTTGAAGTTTCCTTTATATAAATTTTCAAAGCCATCCTCACAAACACCACTTGGTAGTATCTCAAAACCAAAAGGAGACCAATGCCAGCTTTTAGCCTCTGTCTTGGAATAAAAGAACCTCAGTAAGATGAGTGCAGTAGCTCCCTTGCTATTTCAGTAGTCCCTGACTGCCACCAGCTCTGCACAATAGCCATTGGTTTTACATAGTAGTTTAGATAACCTAAAAGGTTTTAAATAAAGCAGAATTAAGCAACAGTTTTATTCTGCAAGAATAGTAGGTAGTCTGCCTCAAGATAGTTCTACACTTTGGAGTCCCATCACCAGAGAGCGACCTGAGCATGTTTTATGAGTGCACACACTTTCTGGTTTGAGTAGCTAAATCCAATGAAACAACTTCTCAGAGAGACAAGGATGCCCTTCCCTCCCCTTGTAAGAATCGTATTTCTAATAAAATGGCAGCTTAAAAAAATATGATCATAAATGAGCCTTTTCTAATATCCATGCACACTTTAGTGCTCCCCCCAGTTGTTAGAACAATAAGCCCTCTGTCAAGTTCCAAGCAGACAAGGATATAAGTTTTCAGCAAAGAATACTTTAAACAGACATGTGGAATTGCAAACCCGAATGCTTGGGCAAAAAACCTTTAAAATATTTCCATTTGTTCTCACAGGTGAAATAACTGTTGAGGGTGGGAACGGAGCATCAACAGGTGTGCAGTTTTCAAAGACAGACCCATTAAAATCACGAGTTTCAACCACAATCTTTTCCACTCCAAAAGCAAACTTCCTTTTCATCTTCCTTGCAATTAAAGAAATTATATCTGAGTACTACACTGTCTCAAATACACCTTTTTCTGCTGCACAAAACTGCAGGAAAGACAGAACAAAGACCACGAAGAAGGCTGGACACGGGGATGGACCAGTATCTTAATGACCTCATAAAAAACACCCTTAACTAAGCTTTGCCATCAATTAGATTACCATTCAGCAGCACAGACTCATGTACAAATGACTCGCCCAGGTCCACACTAATGCCTCTGCGTGCAGTCTGCCATACAGTTTAAGTATGGGCAGAAACTTAATCATATTTGAGATGCTGTCAACATGGAAGGGGGATCTCAACAGGGAAGCTCCCAGTTTCTTCAGCCAGGGCTAGCAAAGCCATGCTTGCAGCTGCTTTATGCAATCTGTACAGTTCCTTGTTCCCTTCAGATACCTTGCATGCTCCTCCTGCAGTCACAATAGTGGGTGTTACGGGCAGTAGCTCCAGGAGATCTCTTTCCCGACTCCCGGGTGAGAAAACAGGAGCTACCTTACAGAAAATGCATCTTCACCAAGAAACACCCGTAAGCATCAGACACACCATCACCCCTACTTTCATTTCAGGTCTTTCTTTTTTCATTCACTTTGCCTCTATCCTTCACCCTCAGCATTACAAAGAGCAATGTCACAGGAGCAGGGAAAGCATTCGTGAACACTGCAAGAACAGCAAGCCAAATATTCCTAAGAATATTCTTTAACAAGCTCTCAAAATTAGAGGATATCATAAAATAAACATAAGGACAACCTGCCAAAATGCCTTTAGCTGGGTTCAAGCTGAGCCAGTTCACAACAGATCAATGATGCAGAATTTAAAGGCAAAAAAGGATATCTGCCATTTTAACCTTCAATTGATTTTAAGAGTCTAGCTCTGACCAACTGAAGATAACCTCTGAAACATGAAACAAACTGAAAGCATATAGTGATCCCTGTCCATGCCTGCAGAAAGCTTGGAAGAATTGTTCACTAGCCCCAGCTGCCTCGTTCTTCTCAAAGTGCCAGAGAAAACAATAAATACTAAGACCATCAACTATTTTTACCCATAAGCAAAGCACATAAGAGAGAAGAAAGATCACATGGGGAGTCTGCACAGCTACAATGCAGTATTTTCTGCAGTGTCACAAATTGGAGCACACACACACACACAAAAAATATCAGGTTAATTCTTTTTGAGGAAGCAAAACCACTGAAGAAATCCAGAAGAGAGGCCGATCATACAAAACACATCAGCAGTTCCTCTTTCCTATAAAAGCTGGAAATAAGCTGCGTACTAAGCAACAGGCCAAGGAAATTAATTTCTTGCCCACGCTACATCTTGGGTACAGGTTTAGGCAGATTCTGTGTCCTTCAAATATTACTAATGTAGACATAGAAAAACAAGAGATTGAAAACCAACATTGGAAAGGCTGCTTTTGAAGACTTTGCACTCCTGTCCAGATGCTGGCATAGCAGTCTCCTACTCCCAATAGGCCATGGAAAGATCTGCAAGTATTACAGAAGAACCGAGGACAAGCAATCTTAAAAAAATCAAAGCACACCAACCAATACACAACCCACAAAAACAGATTTTGAATGTTCTCAGGCCTCAGCTGTGAACAGAGAAGTACTGTCCTCTATCTCATGACCACAGGTGAGATCTGGAGTCTACCAACAATAGTAAATCACCTCATTTTTAATTCTGTAACATTAGGTTAATCTAAGATGTTTAAAAATTCAAAATAAGCAAGATAAAGATAAACTGATATGAAGCTAACCATGAACCTAGAGCCAAGGGACTTCACATGCACAGCAGCTGCAATACAGAAAAACACACACGCAAACACGGCAAGTGGACACGGAGACACAGTGCGGTGCTGGTGCAAAACAGAAGTGCTGCAGAGAGCAGGAGCCACGGAGAGGGCCTCTGCCTGAGCACTGGCGTTCACTGAAAGAGGCAGAACGAGGACAGCTGGGGTTTTAGGAGAGCCTGCACCCACTTCCATCGGACCGAGACTTGGCCCACCCTCCCCAGATGAAGCTTTGCCAATTCCACAGCGGGTCCTTCCCCCTCTCCGCAGGCAGAGCCAGAGAGTGCGCTTCACCCGTTTGATGTCCTCTGCGCCACCCGGGCCGGACGCGCTCTGCTCTTGCCCACGCCCGTCCTGACCTCCAGCCCCCAGGCCTTGAACCCTCCTCCTCCGAGCGGGCC